CCCCCCTCCCAATGTCTATACGAAAAACGTTTAAGAGCCACTTTTCACACTTCAGTGTCGAAGACGAGAGGCAGAAGACACGCATACTCGAGGATTGTCCGAGACTATCCTCGGATGACGAAACTCGAAAACAAGAGAGACGATTGACAAAGCAACACATTCGGAAAAATCACCTTTTTTGCGTCTGTTCTCTTTTCAATCGTCCATCTGGCGCGTCATTATTTCTCTGTTCGTTCTCGTTCTATTCTTTTCTTTTTTTCCTTTTACATATATATTTATATATATATAAAACATATTAGCTTTTAGACTATTGCCGAGTGATAGTCGACGAAAATGAATAGCGAAAGCACATATATATATACGCGTGCCGCAAGTGTGGCGCAGTTGTGACCGAAGTTTTATGTTTCAGTGGATCTAACCAATGGACAACTCACCCCAAACAACAACACGCCCTTACTTACACAAGCACTTTCTGGTACGTTTAAAATGTAAAAAAAAAAAGTTTTTTCTCGCGGCTGCGAATGTAATGCGCTTCCTCGACCCGCTTCGTCGGTTCGCTCGCGATCGATTCGCCCGGAAATGCAAACAATTTCGGGGCTACGATGGCTTTTTCGCTAACTAGTCACGCGAGATTGCAAGCAATATAAGGATTGTGCGCAATAATCTTTGGAGGAATACTCACGAATCGCACGAACGGAATATTGCGGGATAAAAACGTTAAACGCAATATTACGTTCGAATCAATCATCTGCTTTTGCCATCTCATTTTAATACCAGTCCGGTGTTTTGCAGCGATATTTTCACAAACTCGCTGAATACCACGTCCGAGTATGGAGATGGATAATTTTTGCGAAACACATTATTCCTTTAAGGTTTCCAATTTTACCATTTCATGTGTTGCTTGTAATAGTTAGTTCTCCCAAGAATCAATCTCCATTTAGCAAAATAATAACAGCCGGAGAAAGATTTCGATCGGTTTAATGTCCGTAATTTTGGAAGACGGTTACGATTCCGTGTACGCGAGCAACGGAAAGCATGGCTACTGTGCATGATTAATACCATTACTGTGCATGACTGTTACACGTAGAAATATATGTTTCATTAATAACCATCGCATTGTATGTAAGTCTCGACTGAACCGACTGAACGGAAACTGTCATGTGGAAAGTCAATAACATCATTCGTGTGATGTTATTCTTATCAGTAAAGTAAGTGAGATCGTGTCGCTTATTCTGCCAGATAATAAACGCGCGAGACGAATAATTTCTTTCAGTTTTCTCAACGAAAACTCTCTCTGTTTCTTGACATCCTTCATTGCGCTATAAAGTAACGTTTCTTCCCAAAAGAAAATGTTCTCCAATCATAATGGATATATCGTTTCGTTACCTTTCATTTCTCTATTATCACGCGATCACTTTCTGCCGAATTCCGCGCGAGACGCGGGGAAACGGAAGGAAGAGAGGCAGGCATATCCCTCCCCCTCCCCCCTCGAAGAGAAGTTGCCACACATGCGAAGGCGCCGAGATGCCGGCAACGAAATACGCCTCTGGTTCTTCCATCCCCTTTTTTGTCGTGCTCCCCATCTAGAGCTCTGCCGCCGATCTGCCCGCGCGCCGTCGTGCCGTCGTGTGCCGTCCGCAATCTCCTCTCAAATAAATCAAACTTTTGAATCGCGCTCGTCCCACCTCCGCTCCCTCACGACCCCCTGCACGATCCCCTTGCGCTCGCCACCCTCCTCGCTATGGCACCGGCACAAAACTTTGTAACCGGCCGCCATTGTCAAGAGTTTAAAAGCTGAATGGGTTTTTAGATTGTACGCCGGGACGCTTTCGGTTTCCCGTGGTCCCGGCGTCACCATCGGCCTCTCTCTTTCTCTTCCTCACCCCCGTTCGCGAGAGAGTTTCAAATTCTTCGCGTACCGCCCGCTTACGGTCTCTCTCCTCCTCCTCCCCACCATTTCTTTCTCTTCTTCTTCTTCTTCTTCCTTCTAGTTTCCCGTCGTCTTTTTCCTCCTACGCTTTCCGTGACCGCCGTTAATCCGAAAGTACGTACCGTATGACATTTACGCGAGCTCTTGTGCGAGCGCGAACAACGTGAGCGCGATATACGGAATCGCTCGAGTCAGATGCATTAATCTCCGCCGCTTCTTATTGGCTATCTGTCAGAGTTTTTACGAGTGCTAAAGTTTCAGAATGTGGACGACACGCCGAGACACTGTGTTTCCCCGTGTGCGTGTATATGTGTGATACAGCTTCGAAAGTAGCGTAGAGAGTAGTTTCACTATGATTTCGCTCCTTGTTACTTTTGTATGTATGGGAACCGAAGGGCAGTTGTTGGCAGGGTTTAGAAAGAGAGTTTCGAACATTCTATAAACATAGTAATCGCATTAGTACTTAATCCTTGCAGTTGTGCATTACGTATATGTATCAAACATCATGCGTTAGCATGCAGAAAAAGCTCGCCAAGGTAACATACATTTCTCATGACAGTCTTTTACTGTATAAGCACGAAATATTCCAATTTCAAAAGTAGACGATAAGCGTAGTAAAAAATTAGAAATATCAAAAAGATTTACATATTATTAGAACTAGAAAGAACATTATTATTTAACCTTCAATCGTTTGAAGAGAAAAATTTGCTTTTGAGATTAATGTTTTATTTTTAATAATTAGTATTATTTTCTTGCCAACAATTGAATTTGATGCAAGAGGGAGAACAAGATTATTTTACTAAATTCTTTAAAAGAAATAGATAACTATTTTTGAATTTCCTTGTGTGTGTTTTTTTGCTAACACGAGGAGTATACACTATTAAAGCTATAGTGTCAAATTTAACTTTATTTAAATCACTGCTACTTAATATATAATTATTTTTTAATAAAACAATGGAATTTAACCCAAATTTGGGTTAAATTTCAACTGTTTGAAATTATTTAATTCCATTGTTTTAGTTAAAAATAACTGTTTATTAAGTAGGAGCAATGGCGACTCAAAGAAGGTTAAATTTAACATTATAAATTTGACAGTGTAAAATAATTTATTATTTAGATTTGTAATTCTCAGATTTCTAAGAAATTTATTCAATATTATAATAACACAAGAAAGCTCATATTATTCTTGAAAATTATATTTATATTGGCACAAATTTAATTTTCAATCCATCTCCCAATGCACCAAATTATCCGCATCATCATAGTTTCTCCTTACGTTTTATTTTTCCTCGTTGTATTCTGCCCATCGGTGGGTCTTTACTTCGAGAGTTGAACGCGAAATGGGGTAAGTTTAGCTTTTGTCGCTTGGCCTTTCTCTAATCGAACCGACCTTGTCAACTTTTGCGTTTGACTTCTTAAGAGCACGAGGGAGAAATCAACCCTCGTGCGAGCCAGACATTAGAACAGTAATCGTAGTCGAAAGCCTGTTGTATCTCGTAACTTTTCAAGTCGATCGCCATCACTGCCTCGTGCGATTGCGTTGCTTGTCCCACTGACGTGTTGTACAATATCATACATATATATACATATATACATATGTGTACAAGGCGCTTTTTTATTATATATTTCTATGATCGTATGTAAAGGCTGCCTTGCAATGCGCTTTTCATGAGTGTCTTCTTTTATTCCTTCCTTTCTCTTTTTCCAACGAAATTACGAGAAGATGTATTCGTTAAATAGACCCTATCCTCTTTCCTTGTATTCATTGTGTGTAAACGTGATACGTGCTCATCGATACAACGGCATTTACGCGATCATTTAAAAACGCGCGGTTATTTTTAACACATGCACAGTCCTCGTGAAATGTAGACCAGAGATCGTCGTCGTTCATTTGTGCACGAATATGCGTGAGCTCGTTACAACAGCATATCACACTGTATAGTATATATATATATATATATATATATATATATATATGAGTTAAAGAACCTTATCTCTAATGAGATTTAACCCGCTGGAGCGTATCGTTATACAACTGAAATGAGTTTGATATTAGTAAGCGGAAAGAGGCGAAAAAGCTAAAAACTAGGGGCAAACGCCAACGGAGCAACGTGCCTCAAGGTACTTGCATGGAAGATTCCTAAAAAGGATAAGGCATGCAACGCTCGTTTCGCTATCGCGGTGCAGAATGAAACAATCAGAATACTCATATCCCATAATTGTCACTCGGACGTTTAATTGTTGTAAAACGGTGTATGCTACAATTACAGGATTGAAAATTATAAACACGGTTTAATGGTCGTTTAACGGTTATTTAACAATTAGATAAAAGAGATGACATCTCTTTAGATCCTCAATTACTCTAGCCCAGTAAAAGCTGAATCTTTATAGATTAACTACAGTAAAAAAAGATATTTTCCTTTATAATGAAAATAAAAAACGATGAACTGAGATGAACATTAATGTAAAATGTTACAATTGTTACAGTCTGATCAAATTATAGTGATATTATTTATAAACTGGGCCGCGATAATTGAGAATGTTGAAAATTATTTTTGGCATTTCTTAAGAAAGTCTAAATTCGGAAGCGAATTTACGAGAGTATTCGCGTTATTTACGTGTACCGCGGAAGGCGAGGACGAGCCTCGGCCCCGAGGCTTGTCCTCGTCTCGTCGACGACTCGTCCGCTCGTTTTTCGGGACAAAGAGGATGAAACATTGACGCGGGTTCGTTGCAGTGATGAACAACTACCAGGCGGCCGCAGCGCAGGCCGGATTCCCGCCGGCGTCGCCGCACGCGGCCGGCCACGGTGGGCCGCAGGGCCGGTCTTTCCCGGCGGCCAATTCACCGGGCCCGATTGACATGTACAGCTCGAGCGCCGCCGCCGCAGCAGCAGCCGCAGCCGCGGATTCCGCAGTCGCAAGCTACGTCCAGGCCGCAGCTAGCCCGCAGCCCCCCACGACCGCGTTCCCCGCGATCGCCGTATCCCGTGCCCCGCTCAACTACAGTCCCGTAAGTCCACTTAATGCTTTCCCTTTGCTCACCAGATCGGGCCCCTCCCGACAAAGAGATACGGAGCGCAAGGATAAAGAGCCGTGGCCGGAAAATTCGGCGCACTTCTCGCGTTTCACGATCGGGCAATCGCAGCGGGATTTAGTCGATTCATTTGTCCTATTGCTAACATCGTGAGCTGCTCTTTCATATCGCATCGAAAATAAATTGAATTATTCTCGACAAGTCTCGTTTCAGTATTTCGTTACAGTATTTTATCAACTAAATAGAATTTTTTATTTGACAGATGTAAAACCGGAAGATAAGATTTAGAAGAAGATATTAGAAGAAGATCAATTCATTAATGATTACAAATAAAAAGAATATTGATCAATGAAAATTTTTACGTCGCATTTTAATTATAATGGATACAGAAAAATCTGTTAAAATATTTTCGATGAATGTCAAGCATCAATGTTTCTCTAACAAATGTTTACGACTGGTAAAACAAATTATCCAAATAAACTCGATGAAAAAATGTATATTTACAATTTTTACGTTTAAAAAATTTATATCGCACGCAAAAATTCGAAATGAATTTTTACGCTGGTGTAATAAAATATTGCAAAATTAAAGAATTATTTGACCGTTGACCAAGCTCTTTATCATTTCGTTCCGTATTGCAGTTTCATCAGCTTTATGCATTTATGACAAGCAAATGTGGATACAGTACCCTTTTGCGAACGTACATTATATTTAATGCAACCAGTTATCAATCTCACAAAAAAGATTGCTTCTATGTACATACTATATACGCTTTATACATTCTATATTCTGAGATTCTTATATTTTATGAATACATCTCTGGTCCGTCAGGTATAGTATGACAATTATTACATTGGCTTTGTATCGAAGATAAAATATTGTTTACATATAGGATATCTCTAATCTATTCATTCTCTATCAGTATAATATATTTAACGTACCCAAGACGTCCCATGTAACATCACTTCGCGTATTATCCTTCGCGTTTTTTGACAGTTATCATTATTTTTATATTGTGAAATTTCTCTCGAGAAATATATACAGCAAAAAAGAAAAAAAAAAGATATTTTACAACCTCAAAGGCCAAGTACCGCAATTGCACGCTGCAATTTTAGATATGCAGGCAAACGTAAGGGTTTATCTTTATGCTCATCCTTGTGTAATAATCATTACTTTTATGGGAAGGTTGATGAAACCGATATATTGTATTGTTCCAGGGTCCTCTAATACCAGCGGCGTTCACTAATGGCTACCATTGAGCCTTGTTAAGACCTAATAACAGGTATGTGTGTATGGCATCGACGATACTTCAACAAATATTGATGTTTTACATTGAGGTAAATTTATTAAAAACCTTTGCGCTAATATTACTGTGTATAACATTCAAAATAGTTTATTTCTCTTCTTCCATCTCACAAGTCTTCTGATATATGTAACATTATTTTGATGAAAAACACAATTCTACGTAAAACGGTAACATCAATAACAGGAAATACTAAAATATAATCTTATTTGTTTTAGTAATTTATATACATATTAAAAAGACACAAATAATCTTTAATTTTTACATGTATCTAAAAGATTTTGTATCTAAAAGATACCAAATTTGAACATATTTTTAAAAGAGATTTTAAATCTATCTTTATTTTATATCGGCTGTATACGCCCATTTAGAATCAATTAAAACTGGCTTTTTTCAAAAGACAAATACATGTGTAACGTTTTGAACTTTTAATTCTTTTTTCGTCAGGATGGACGAGACGGCAGAACGCAGCACGGTCGCCTGATATAATAAGCAACACGGACGATTTGCGGCAGCTAAACACACAGTGGACGATCTCTGGACGAAAAAAATAACACATACACGCCTACTGTATAGATACAAAGATATAAATAACGAACAAAAGTTGCAATTTAAAAAAAAAACGGATAATGTCGAGAAGGCAACTTATCAAGTAAGATTCAATCGATGCAACTTCAAAATCCGGATTGTAAATAACCGGATGTAATATTACGCGAATAATGTAATAATTGCATTAAGAAAGAATTTAGAGCATTAGTCGAATCCAGTTGGATGCAACTATAGATAGAGAGAAGAAAATTAATCCTGTTGATGAGTAAGAGAAAAGAAACTGACGCGCAACGGGGGAAGACGTCCAGAGAGAAAGTCAGAGGGGGAAAAAGATGAGAAAAGCGACAGGAAGATCGACCGTCAGACGGAAACAGGAAGGAGGTAACAACACGCGCTGCAATAGGCTAGTTATGGCCGAAACTGCGTATTGACGCCAGCCCGTTCTCCGAAATTAATAAAAGAAATAATAATATAATAATAATAAATTAAATTAATATTATTAATTGCTAAATATTTAAGCGGTTAAGTCTAGAATATATATAAATAGTATATATATATATATAAAGATATAAATATATATATATACACATATATATATATATATAAATATATAAATAATTGATAATTATATTATAGACGATAACGTATGACCTCTAGTATTTAAGGCAGTTAAAGAGACAGAAGAGATACCAACTCTCACGAATATTATAATTATTAATTATTACATGATTACTGGCGATTGCAATTATTAACGAGAGCGCCGTGCACCGCGCGTGTCCGCGTATACATAATATATAAATGATAGGTGCACATACGCGCGTTTCACACCTGGGAAAGACTTTGTTTCTGGGCTTTCAAGTTTTAATCGTATGCGCGGGAAGGGTTTTGAAGAGTTTAATGGCGGCCGGAGAGAGGAAACGATGAGAGGAAAGGTGGAGAAGAGAGAAAAGGAGAAGGAGGGAATGAAAAGCTGAATGAAAAAGTAGAGCGGATAAATCAAGCGATCCTTTTTGCTGCCCTTTCTCTACGTCCGCACATGCAGATTCAAGCCCCCTTCTTCTCTCCCAACGTGCCTTTTCGCTGGCTAAATGGCGGAACGGTGCTTCTCTCCTGTCCTAGGTCGCAGTCCTGCTTTCCCGGGTGCGCAACGAAATAATGCAGAAAGATGTAGCGCGGCGGGCGAGCGAGAGGGAGGGTTACATAGGCGTGTTACATACTTGATGTCAGCATTATTTGTGGGAAGAGGGAAGAGAGACACGCAAGAGGGCTGCCGTCGAATTTTCGGGCCGACGAGGGCAAATTCGAATGCGATGAGACGTGCGCAACATCGGAAGACTTCCGGAAAGAAGGAACAGTAGTGGATGATATCGTTAGAATTCACGGAGAATAGCGGAAGTTCTTTAAAGTTTCGCTTCTCGCCGACGAAATCCGCCATTTATATCTCGGTAGATAAGCGTTTAATGCACGGTTTATGGAATGATCATTGTGGATTTATAATTGTAAACTTTAAAAGAATATCATGTTTTATCGTAATACGATGTTTTAATCAAAATAGTTTTGGAAAGTTATATAATTTCTTTATCACATTAGACGTATTTAAACTGCATCACGACAAAGTCAACTCGACGGCCAATGTTTTTGCTTTTGAGATAAGAGAAAAATTAGGATATAAATGGCGTTGATTTACGCTACTCTGTAATTCTGATTGACACCAAACGCTCGCTCCAAAAGTTCCAGTTGGAGCTTTCCGGAGGCGCCGGACAATGACTGTTATGATTCTAATCGGCCGCTGTATAGCTTTAAAACCGATTACGTGCAGTAACCTTTGTTATATACATACATACATATGTATATATAGATATATATATGTATGTATATACACACTCATATACATACACGTATATTACGCGTGTCATACGCAAATTACCGTATAATTAATTTAAAATAAAATGCCGTATATGCATAACCCTAATAGTCGAGCCAATGCGATCAAAGAGGAAAAAAGAAAATACGAGTTTTTCTCAGCGGCGAACAAACCGCAATATACACACTTTACACAACACACACACACACACACACACACACACACACACACACACACACACGCACGCACACACGATATACACGCGAAAAGCTCTACGACACACCCTCCACATCCCCGGCGTCTAATCGTCTAAGGCTGAGTTACACCGATAGTCTGGCTTAACTAGCTCTGGTTGGCGTGTGAGGTCTAGCGATTCATGGTTCTTCATTAGATTATAGCCCCACACACTTGCTGCAGCATGCAGGCGAGCAAAGAAAATTTAGTTAACCAGCGTCGGTGATAACCAACGTATAGGTGCAAACTTGTAAGATTCATACAGCGGGAGATCAAACGATCGAGTAAAAGATCGAGTTGAGAAAGAGAGAGAGAGATGGTAGTATATAAAATATATACATAGAAATGTGTCGCGCGTAATCTTCGTCCGCGATATACGGAGCACCGGTCGACCGGTGCACTTCAAACGCTAACTTATAACGGGGAGGACGGCGAGATGTCGAAGGAGGGAGGAAAAGAAGGGAGAAACAAAAAAACCTAAAGTTATATTGAGAGAAAGAGACCGAGCGCGCGAAAGGGAATAGGAAGAAAGACGACGAGAGCGTGCGTGAGAGCGAGTGCGAAAGAGTTACCCTTTAGGATTAAAATGCGCGATCGCTGGTGCGCGGTCGCGATTAGGATTTAGGGACTAAAAAAAAAAAATGGGCGAGGAAAGACATAAACGTGAGAGTGCATATTATATTATTAATCTATATATATCGCAAATATGGCTGGACATCGGATGTTGCGTCCCATCGCGCTTCCAATAATATTTCGGATGTTAGGAGAGGCCCAAGGACTCGCGATGTAAACGAGAGAGGGAGAGAGAGAGAGAGAGAGAGAGAGAGAGAGGTGTAGGCTCCTTTTGAGAGATCCTGCAAGCCTCAATTGGACTACGTTATACAATGCGAAGAAACGGACGAACGACGCGTTTCTGAAGTCGCGCTTTTCCCGCGTTCTCAGCCTCACTTGTGTGTGATCGCTCTCCTCTTTCTTTCGAATAATATCACTTAACTTTATATTGTATAACGCGATCCAATTGACGAGTGAATGAGCGACGATTGGATAGATTCCAATGGAGTACTTGGTGATCGGAGTTTAGGTTAACTTTGTCGTGACCTTATAATATTGCGCGGAAAGACGAGAGGAATTTCAATTAGCGTGAGAATAGAAATGATTATTCAAGGAGCACGAGCTTCCCGGGCGATTAAGAGTGATCGACATTTAGTGTTATTTCTTTAAATAGCCGGACGGGGGATGGTCCATTTCAGTGGAATGGGATACCATCGCCGAATTAATTACCAACATCCATAGGCTAATTGTAAGTTGCATCAACGGTCTTGCTCAACTAATTCTTGAGTTATCGGTTTAATATCATCTTCCGGATTAAAACTCTATAGCTATATCAAAAGACAACGGTAGTGTCTCGCGCCAACTACGCGCGCGAGAGACCGCCCCGTGTATCTGTACTCTGTCGAGTTTAATATACGTAGAAAGGAAAGCAAATCTCATGCGGTTAATCTTGATTAATGATAATCGACGTTGATACAACTACTTGAGTTTTTATTATGCGTGCATGTTTTTGTCATGTAAATCGTAACAAAATATCATTGGATTCTAAAAACAAACTGGATAGAAAAACATAGATCCTTTCAATATAGATCATTTTGAAACCTTTTGAGTTTTGAAACAAAAAATGCACGCGTAAAAGAAGGCCTCGAACAGCCATATTATTATATTACAATGGTAGTGCGTTGAAAATACACACAATGCACGAGTGCGAGAAACTCCATCGCATTTTGGCAGAGAATTTTACGGAGAGATTCCTCCCTTCTTTCTGATGACAAGGGCCGTATCGCCCCCTTAATAAATTATGCGCGTAATTTATACGACTGGGACATTCGCGTTTCGTTAATATCGCAGAATAAATGGTTCCTTATTACATATTATCATTACTATAATTGAATTCACAAGAAAAGAGCGTCGATCGATGAATTATAATTATATAAAACGACGATTATACACGCGATTATTATATGCGTGCTGTTATTATTATTGCATTAAACAACAGGGTAAACAAAAAAAGAAGAAGAGAAGGAAAACGAGAAATAATTTTATTGAAATTGGATACGTGCGTCACACGTGGAACGGCAAAACCATTTTGTTTCTTTCAATGAACGTGCATGCGACGTGGAGGAAAGAGAGGGATATAATAATGTACGTGCAAAAAAACGAGTCAATTCTTAAAGAACGTTAGCAATACTTTTTATGACCACAAAGAAACGTGCAGAGCGTTAAAGAAGGGGCGGAGATTAAAGTATATTGTCAAGAGAAGTCACAGTATTCTTAAGTTCCTAAATTATGCGCGCGACGTAAAACTGGGTTTGTTTGAAGACACAAAAAGAAAACGTGCATTCAGACTGGCAGGAGAGAGAGAGAGAGAGAGAGAGAGAGAGAGGGAGAGAGGGAGGGAGAGAGAAAAAGAGAGAGAGAGAGAGACGAAGTGGGCAAACTGCGATCGCGTGTGTCACCAACGTTTTGTACACCGCCCATCCTCTTGTGAGCAAAACAGAATGATAGCTGTCCCGTTGTAGCCTATATAGAGAATGATGAATTGTGAAAGGGAGCGTGATATTTTCAAACAAAATGTTCAAAATAGACGTATTGCATAAGAAAATATAAAAAAAAGCGATCGAACTTATCCGAAAATAATCGCCTTTTTTAATCAAAAGTATATAAATAAAATTTTTTTCTTTGTTGAAATAATTATTATTTAATAAAAGCCACTTGTTTTCTTAAGTACGAAAGTTAGCGTACATTTTAGATTTTTTGGAAGTAATGAACGAAATATCAAAAAAGAAAAGTGAATTCAAAATGTCTTTCATTCATTTACGAGAATGAAAGATTTAAATCATTGATGGCTAGAATAAAAATATCGGTTATTATAGTATAAAAAAAAGAAGGTTAATGTATTGTAAAATTGTGATAATTTGTCACTGTAATATTATTTTTCCATTGACTGATTTAAAACGGTAAAAACTGTGAGAGAGAGAGCCAATAAATCCATATATTTTAAATTGAATGCAATACATTCGTTACATAATAAATGAAATGTGTTCACAAGTGGAATTTAAACGGCAGTTTTTTAACGGCTATTACGATGATATATTAAGTTAACATATACAAATAAATTGTATTATACCAAAATTATGTTAAATTTGTTAATTAAATATATTTTCTCTA